CGTAGTGAATTACGAATACTTTTCCTGAACAACTTTTGGTTTTCCTTGAAAGTGTATCACTTTTCACAAAACTTTTGTTTGTTTGTTTGTTTGTTTTGAGTAATCTCTACACCCAGTGTGGGGCTTGAACTCTGACCCTGAGATTGAGGCGCGTGCTTCAGTGACTAAGCTAGCCAGGTGCCCCATCACTTTAAAAAAAAGAAAAATTCAGTCACTATTTTAGCCTCAGACTTTTTGTCAGTTCCATGCTCAGGTATTCCATCAGCTTTCACTTTTGGAAAGAACTCTTCCCCAGCTCCAGGCTGCCTTGCTAGCCTTCCCAGTTGTCTCCTGGGATCCCGGGGATTTTTCCTCTCTTGTTCCCGTTTTCTTTGCTGTCTTCAGAGCTCTCCCTCTGTGTTAGTGGAGCATAATCTCTCTCCTCAGTGTCTTCTCTGAATAACTTGTGTGGGAGGTAAATCTTTTGACTTTGTGTTTCTTTCTGTGTAGTCTTGATTGATGGTTGGAAATCATTTTCCTTCTGTATTTGTTATTTGTTCTGTGTGCCCTTTTAAATAGTATTCTTTTGTTTATGGATGTATTATCTTTCTGAGGACATCAATTATTATTTTATATATTCTCTTTGTTTTTTATTTTTCCTCCAGCTTGTATTTTTCTGTTTTGCCCTTGACTTTTCATGATAGTGGCTTTCCTAAGATACATGATAATCTTTGTTTTCCTTCATATCTAAAAGTCAGGGATACACAGTACAGAGAGTTGAATTATATGAAATTGCTCTTTCCCAGCTTTCCTATCTGTGAACATCTTTACCTCTCAGATCTTCATTTTTTTTTTTAAGATTTTATTTATTTATTCAGAGAGAGAGAGAGAGGCAGAGACACAGGCAGAGGCTGTGCAGCAGGCTCCATGCAGAGAGCCTGAGGGTGGGACTCGATCCAGGGTCTCCAGGATCACGCCCTGGGCTGCAGGCAGCGCTAAACTGCTGCGCCACCGGGGCTGTCCTCAGATCTTCATTTTTATGTTATATTCTCCACTAAAAGAACCAGGGCTTCCTGGAGAAATGAATGATTTCAGAGTTGGGGCAAAGAATGTTCAAGATGAATCTGGAACATGTCATGTTGTTATGCCAGGAAATAAGGAAGTGCTCAAAGAGTGTGAAAAGCACACAGGAGTCTGCTTGAATCAGGACTCTTAATTGGCCGAATGTGGGACAATTTGAGCATCAGAGTGGATGTTGGCATTAATAAATAAAATAAGAATCTGTGAGTCTATATTGTTAAGGAGTTAGAGGATGAGTGAGAAGAGGGGGACATACCTTACTAAAGTTAAAATATCATCTGATGGAAGAACAGTAGATTTACAAAAAAAATCACTTTTTAGCCATCAGAGAACAGTTGATCAGACAAAAATTGCCAATAGGTAGTAAAACTACTGAGTTAATGTTTTAAGAACATAAGCTCAAAATATCTTTCCACAGGGACACCTGGGTGACTCAGTGGTTGAGCGTCTGCCTTTGGCTCAGGGTGTGATCCCGGATTCTCAGGATCAAGTCCCACATCAGGCTCATTGCATGGAGCCTGCTTCTCCTCCCTCTGCCTGTGTCTCTGCCTCTCTTTCAGTGTCTCTCATGAATAAATAAATAAAATCTAAAAAAAAAAAAATCTTTCCACAGATTACTTATTTATTACTCACAGAAAAATGGTTATTTTACAGAGGAGAAGTATGGCACATATCATCTTAACCAGGTGATCTAAATGCTCGCCAATAGTGGGACAAATTGACACCCTCTTTATGTGATCCTTCAGGAACAACAAAACTTCATTTATTGATGCCAGAAATGCATACCCTGTATTCCTCAAAAATGTCAGTGAAATGAAAGACAAAGAAATAATGCAGGACTGTTTTAGACAGAAGGAAATGAAGGAGTTAGGACATAGGATCCTGGATGGAGGTGATGGAGGATTACCACGAAGGCCATTGTAGAACATTTGGGAAAATTGGAATATGAACTATTTAATCCATAGTCAGTATGTACTATGTTAAATTCCTAACTTTGACATACATACTGTGGTTGTGTGAATTAGTGTCCTTGTTCTTAGGAAATACACAGTGAACTGTTTGGTGGAAAGGTTAGTGATCTGCAGTAACTATCAAGGGGTTGGGATGTTCGTGGAGAGGAGGTGCTCAAGCAAAAGTGACACAATGATTAGTTGTGAGTCCAGGGGAAGGCTTAGTGGGAGTTTCCTCTACTATTCTTTTTTTTTTTTTAAGATTTTATTTATTTATTAGAGACAGAGAAAGAGAGAGGCAGAGACACAGGCAGAGGGAGAAGCAGGCTCCATGCAGGGAGCCCGATGTGGGATTCGATCCCGGGTCTCCAGGATCACACCCCAGGCTGCAGGTGGCGCTAAACTGCTAAGCTGCCCATTCCTCTACTGTTCTTGTAACTGTTCTGCAAATTTGCAATGAAAAGCTTTTTAAAAAAAATACTAGTTTTTAAGAATGGTAGATTGGAGGCTCCCATCATGGGAGGGGCTCATTGGCTATGAACTTTCCAGCAGTGACCAGTAGTGCTTCTTTGGTTGGGAAATTCCCAGTGTCAATATTTTCAAGTTCTTTTTTCTCAAGGTCAGTTAGTTCACTCTGAAGACATTCCTGTCTTCAGCCTAGCTGGGAATCTGAAGAACCCAGTAGGAAAACGTGGCTGGAGTTGGGTTGGGCCGTGGGGTATGCCTGTGTCTCAGCATTTATTCTGTAGTTCCCGCAGTACCTCTGTTATCAGGGTGGCGAACTATAACAAGCTGTGCTGGCAGGGCTCTCCCAGTGCAGAGGCCTGCTTTCATGGCTCATCATCCTGTCATACGCCGAGCCTGGCAGGGATGGGAGAGGGTGAAGATATTTAGGGATCTAAATGTTCAGTGAATAACTTTCTCAGCCAGTACTCCTTTTGCTCCCTTTCAACACCTCTCTAATTTGGTTGCCTTTTCCTGGTCCTTGTGGATTGTGTCTTTAAGGCAAAACAACCAAAATAGTCTTTTTACTATAGATCTAGAAGCATTTCAATGTGTATTTGACATACACTCTTTACTCAAGAGGCCCACGGCTACACTCAGACACTCTTCCATTCTATTTGCCATGGTTTAGTCTTGTTTCTCATGTTCTCACACTTTAGAATGACTATATTTCTTACCATCAGTATTATAGACCCACTCGTTTCCCTCATTAGCCCAAGTGAAAAGAGTATGAGCAATTATACAAAAACCTTATTCCAGAAAAATGGATTAAGTCTCACCACACTTGTTACTATTTAATAAGCACCCAGGTTCATAATGCCATGAGCACATTTGATAACTGTTTTTTTTTTTTTTTCTTTTGGCTTCCCTGAATATGGAGTGTGCAGCATGGTAAGGCAGGCAGGCAGGTTGGTCCAACTCTGCTGGGAGCCTGTGATCTACCTACCGGTGGGGGGTAGTGAGTGATCTTGGCTCCTGGAAGAAACAACTGAAGATCATCTTTGAGGGTCCTACAACCACTCATTTAAATGCTAAATTGTGTGTGTGCGTGCGTAAGTGTACATTTTGTGATGCATGTAAATTCATTGGATTCTTAAAAGGACCTGGAACCCTGGGCACACAGAAGGTTGGGATGGGGCTAGAATTACCTGCAACATTTAGTGATGTACTTTTTATAATAACATGTTAGCCTTGTTATGTCTGAGGACTGTAGTAGCACATGATGGCACATGATGTCTTAAAATTTAAAGCAGAAATTTAGTTGATCAATTTTTTAAAGCGTTTGTTTAGAAAGCATTTGACTGGTAAAATGTTTTATGTTTAGAATTAAATAATTTCTTAAGCTGGGTTTGTTACTGTTTTGGTTGATTCAATTTATTGTTTCTTTTTTTATTATTAAAGATTTTATTTATTTATTCATGAGAGTCACAGAGAGATAGGCAGAGGGAGAAGCAGGTGATGAACAAGCAGCCTGATGTGGGACTCAATCCCAGAACCCTGAGTCAAAGGCAGATGCTCAACCACTAAGCCACCCAGGTGCCCCTCAAGTTATTGTTTTAATAAGAAGTCAGCAGTCAGCATTGTTTCTGTTATCTTATTTGATGGAAAACATTGGCTTGAGTGTAGTGAGTTTTATGGAAGAAACATATCCAATGAACAGCATTATGTTTTGAGATGCCTTGTAGACTGTTTTCTTACAGGATTTCTAATTAGCATATTGTCCATAATTTGAATGTTTTTCTGCAGTGTTATCCATAAAGTGCCTTGGAAAATGGTTTATAGTCCTTTCATGTGTAGTGTTTGATTAATCGTTAGAGACATTATAGAGACACTTTGGCTATAGCTAGTACTTCAGTGACCTCAATATTCTGCTTTCATTTCCTGGTGAAAGTTACACGGTGTTTGAAGGTATTAACATGGGGCTACTTGGTGGCTACTTTTAAAATTTGATTTAGTATTTTAAAATATGGTGCCATCACAGTCAACCCTGTGTTGGGTAAGAATATCATTGATGTTTTCATAACATAAAGATAAGAATATATATATGTTCTTACTGATAGTGCTATTATGGTGTCTGTGTTTCTGGGTTATTGTTTAGTGTAGGGTAAAAACTGAGGCAGAGGGATGATAGTGCCTTTCCTCCTCTCCTTTTTTTTTTTTTTTTTTTTAAGATTTCTCTCTCTCTTGAGAGAGAGAGAGAGGCAGAGACACAGGCAGAGGGAGAAGCAGGCTTCATGCAGGGAGCCCGATATGGGACTTGATCCCGGGTCTCCAGGATCACACCCCGGGCCGAAGGCGGCGCTAAATCACTGAGCCACCCAGGCTGCCCCCTCCCCCTATTTTCACATAGAAAAAATTTCAGTTAACTAGAACTGTTTGATCTTCTGAGATTCTGTGAATCAGGATCTTCAACCAGTATCTTTAATGTCAGATGTCACCAGACCAAAACAGAACATGCTGTGAAAATATGCTCTTTTTTCTTTACAGGAGAGCTTCTGTTTTGCTTCCACATCCCACTTTACCTCTGGCTAATCTGCTAATGCAGTGAATTGGAAGACAACTGTTACCAGCATAACCTGTAATGGGCAAGGAGCCACAGAGAAGAAAACATTTCTTTTAATTTTTAAACTTGGTTGAAAGGTAAGACCATTGAGATTATCAGGAGTTTCCTTCCATGAGTTCATCAAGGAAGGCAGTGTTCTTTTGTGAGACCCTGGAGTCTAGGTCGACCAGGGCCAGACCAGGTACAGTATGGTTCTGTGGCAGTGTGGTATTTTTAGCAAGTTAAATAGCAGCCTCTGTAGTTTGCTCTTGCAAGTTTTGGAATCTACAGCACACATGATGTGTGGGTTTCCTCATTTCCTAGGGGAGTTGATCTGGGTCCCAAGGATAAGCCAGGCCTAGCAAGCTGAAGGAGCACACACAGAATGACTGGTTCTTCAGACTCAGTGGCTGCTTCTAGGTCACCTGGAAGTATGTGTGTGCTGGCACAAGAGAGATTGAGCTTGGGTTGTTTTGTTTTACACCAGCCAAAGGCCATCTCTCTCTCTGGCTTTTAGCTAGCCATCTGACTCCTTTCAAGTCCTAATTGCTATCATTTTAGAACTCTTTACTGAAACTTTTTCTTAAACATCGGAGGTTGATTTTGCGTATTTGATAGTTGGCACCTCAGAAAGTGGTCCAGTAGGGTCTTTGGAGGATGTGACACATTTTTAATCCATTTTCATTTGCTCCACTGTATCTTGAAGAAAAGGTGGGCATAAACCACTTAATTATCTACAGTTCAAGCTTCATTATCTCAGGAGATAGTCTGGTTATGGTGCTATAGCAGGTCTCTGCTTTTCATCCCAAGGCAGTTTTTCCTTCAGCCCCTCATAAATGACTCTCCTCCCCCTTCTGGCCTCCCTCCATGTTACGCAGTGAAGCACCACCTCCTGGGCCTCCTGATATTCAGGATTCTTACATAAATCTTCTGACTTGTCCAGCTTTTTCTCTGTAAAAATCCTGATGGGGAGAATTCTCCTGTAAGTATTCATTCACCTCTTGGTGCCTTGTCTGGTAAGGCACCTTTTTTTGGGGGGTAGGGGTGTCCAGCTGTTTCTTCTCTTTCTCTGCCCCGGGTTACATTCTAACCCTGTGGGTAAAGCCACTTCCATTTCCCACCTGCCTGACTGTGTGGAAGAATTCATCCCAAGTTGAGGGTTCAGATTTGAGAAAGTCGGGACCACGTGCTTACAACTGTGGTCTGACCATGTAGGCCCACTGATTATAATAAAGAAAGTGGTTTATGATGCACATGAGCTTTTATTTTGCCTTTTGATCAGCTGGTTCAGAGCTGGGAGTAACAGGAAGAGGGGGCACAAATTTCAGGGCCCCCAAAGACCTCCATCTTGAATTCAGCTGGTTATTTTACAGGTTGTACCTCTTTTTTCTGTTTATGGGACTGTTGTCTGTTTGTAAATTGTAATAGTTACCCACTTTTCATTGTGGGTATTGTGACACTATCAAAGAATGATTTTTAAAGCTGTTTCAGTAATACCATACAACTGTAAAAAATTGAGATATAATTGACATACAACATGTGAATTTTACTGTATTTTATTTTTAAAATTATTTATTTATTCATGAGAGACACAGAGAAAGAGAGAGAGAGAGGCAGAGACACAGGCAGAGGGAGAAGCAGGCTCCATGCAGGGAACCCGATGTGTGACTCGATCCTGGGTCTCCAGGATCATGCCGTGGGCTAAAGGCGGCACTAAACCACTGAGCCACCCAGGCTGCCCAATATGTGAATTTTAGGCACACAACATAGTGAATTGATATTTGTATATATTTTGAAATGATCACCACAGGAAGTCTAGTTGACATTCATCATCACACAGTTTTTTCTTGCAGTGGGAACTTTTTTTTTTTTAAGACAAGGAGTTGGGGAGGGGCTAAAGGGGAGAGAGAGAATCTTAAGCAGGCTTCACGCTCTCTGAGGAGCTAGACACGGGGCTTGATTTCACAACCCTGAGATTATGACTGGAGCCAAAATCAAGAGTCAGGGGCACTTGGGTAGCTCAGTCAGTTCAGCATCTGACTCTTGGTTTTGGCTCTCTTAGTGATCTTGGGGTCATGGGATTGAGCCCTAGTAGCAGGCTCCACACTCAGTGGGAGGTCTGCTTGGGATTCTCTTTCTTTCTTGCCCTCTCTCTGTCCTTGCCCCTGCTTGTGTGCATGGTCTCTCAAATAAATAAATTTTATTTTATTTTATTTTTTTAATTTTTATTTATTTTTATGATAGTCATACACAGAGAGAGAGAGAGGCAGGCAGAGACACAGGCAGAGGGAGAAGCAGGCTCCATGCACCGGGAGCCCGACGTGGGACTCGATCCTGGGTCTCCAGGATTGCGCCCCGGGCCAAAGGCAGGCGCTAAACCGCTGCGCCACCTGGGGATCCCTAAATAAATTTTAAAAATAAATAAAATTTTTAGTAAAACAACAAAAAACAAAATCAGAAGTCAGATGCTTACCCAGCTGAGCCACCAGATGCCTCTGTAATGGGAACTTTTAAGATCTCTCACAGTGACTTTCAAATACATAATTCAGTATTATTATTAACTGTAGTCACAATGCTGTACATTACATTTCATGACTTATTCTATGACTTGAAGTCTGTACCTTTTGACCTTCACCCATTTTGTCCACCCCCCCATCATATGGTTTTATTATTATTCTCTGTATTTGATTGAGCCCTTTTACTAGGGCTCAGCTCTTTTTCTACTTTTTTGGCAAATCTTTCTGTATTGTTCCAATTTCTCTGTGGCCACTCCTTTGTGAACTCTTAGAATATCTCAATTAGTGAAATAAGTCAATCGGAGAAGGACAAACATTATATGTTCTCATTCATTTGGGGAATATAAATAATAGTGAAAGGGAATATAAGAGAAGGGAGAAGAAATGTGTGGGAAATATCAGAAAGGGAGACAGAACATAAAGACTCCTAACTCTGGGAAACAAACTAGGGGCGGTGGAAGGGGAGGGGGGTGGGGGTTGGGGGTGAATGGGTGACGGGCACTGAGGGGGGCACTTGACGGGATGAGCACTGGGTGTTATTCTGTATTTTGGCAAATTGGACACCAATAAAAAATAAATTTATTAAAAAAATCTCAATTATTTTAGCGTTTCTTTTTCTTTGAGTACATTTAAGCATTCCACAAGCAAGGATTTTTGACTTCTACTTGATATTTTTAGTACTTTTTACACAATAGGTATCATTAATTGTATAGTGTAGGGCTAAAATTTCAGAAACATTTCTTAGGATGACATTTTTAGGACTTTCTCCCTCTCATTTTGTTTTTGTTTTATTTTGTTCTTTGCTGATGACTCTTAGCTGTGGCAATGGATAGAACAATTCCTTACCATTAGCTGTATTCCTTCTGTTTCTTTTTTTCACTCCCTCTGTTCATCATATGCTGTCTAATGCCAGGTGAATTCTTCTCTTAGGAAGTTATCCATTAGTCTCTAGGAGTCCTAGAATCAGCACCAGGTGGTAGAGAATGATTCCCAAAGAGGAGCAGCATTGTAAATATAGGGTCCTTTAGACAGGGTTTATCAAGGCCCAGATAGGAAATATTTTAGGTTTTGCAGACCACGAGGCAAAAAGGAGAATATTGTATCGGTATTTACATAACAAGAGAGGAAATTTTCACAGATATTATTGATGGAATTAAAAATTTAAGAGTATTTGAGTTCAATATTCTGTAATACAGATCTATCTATTAATGAGAAGAATGGAATTCTTTTTCTAGGGGGATACCATTTCACCTAAATGGTGTTCATAGCCAGACTTCCCCTCTCAAACTCTATTGTAAATGTTCATCTAATCTATTAATGCTGCTATAATGAGATTTTACATATTTCATCTTTGAAAATATCTTTTTACACAAATAGGTACTGCCACATTCTGATATCAGTTCTAAAAGCATGTATATTCATTACTTGGAAGGCATTTATAGAATTCTATTAGATTCTTAGTGTTTGTCTTTTAGCATGTCATTACATTGTAGATTGATTACTTCTAGTTGATGGTTAGGAAAATCCTCATTTGTATAGCTGTATGAATTTTGCAATAGGATAATTTCCTTTACATTTGCATTAAGGTCTGAAAAATTCTTTTAACTGTAGTTTGAGCTAAAAAAAATGTACCCACTGCAAATTTGTATGGAGACAGAGATCTCACTTCAATTTTAGGTTCTGACAACATGGGAAGGGTATGAAGCAGTTTGAATTTATGATCCTAACAAAGTTAGTAGTGAAATGACCTTACCACTGCAGCAGGTTTGCAGATCAGTGCTGATTAGCCTTGTAGTTTTAGGTTGAATTCACTAAGAAGCCTCAAGACTTAAGCCAGTGCCAATTTTCAGAGCCATTCAGGGCTTAGCAGTAGTGGTTGAGGGTTATTCTCTCATTCAGAAAGATTTCAGTTTTGGCCCTGAGCTCAAAAAGTTGCAGAAGACATTAACCCTTGCTAAAAGCCATTATGCTGGGATCCCTGGGTGGCGTAGCGGTTTAGCGCCTGCCTTTGGCCCGGGGCGCGATCCTGGAGACCCAGGATCGAATCCCACGTCGGGCTCCCGGTGCATGGAGCCTGCTTCTCCCTCTGCCTGTGTCTCTGCCTCTCTCTCTCATTCTGTGTGACTATCATAAATAAATAAAAATTAAAAAAAAAATAAAAGCCATTATGCTGCTTGCTGGTAATAGGAAAAGGCAGGGTCGGATGACAGGTCTGGAGAGTAAATGAGGTTCGCTGTTGATGTTACCAGTACAGTAACACATGAAGAATTTAAAAAACCTCTCGAAGGACCTGCTGATGAAAATAAAGAACTGTAAACTTTGAACAGTACATTTTCACAAGTTTTGTAAATTTGTCCAATTAAGCCGTTTTTTGCTCTACATGTTATTTTACCATTATCAGCTGTAACATGTCACTCATGGCCGAACTCTGCTACACACTGTAGTGACTTTATCTAGCTTTTCTGAAAACACCCGGCCTGTGGCTGTTTCATGTGGGCTCTTAAAGACTCATTTGTCATCATGTCAAATGCCTCAAATAAATAACAGCTGAGCTGCATCGGTCATATCTGTGAACTCCTCAAGAGTCCAAAGGAAAACTATCCTTGGCTTCCTTGCTTGGAAGGAGAAGGAGACCACTTCAAGGAGAGCCACTTGGAGACCAGCTCTGCTTGAGGTTTCATTTTCATCTTCTATTTTTGTGAAGAAATTTTCCTGTTACAAGATAATCCAGTTAAAAACTTAAATGTTTCTGACACATGCCTTCCTGTGTGTTGGGAATACTCTGATGACTGCGTGGTCTGGAAATGTGGACATAACATTATGTTCTCTTAGTACAGGTATGGTGTCGTTACATTGCAGACACAGCACTTTGCCATCTGATTTTGTGACATAAGAATCCCCGTCCCACTCTGTCTTACAAGCACAACTTGTGAAGTCTGGTTTTTCTTTTCTTTTGATTTGTTGGGGGATGCAAGGATAATAAAATAAGTGTTCCAGTTCAACATTTTGCCCCAAGTTAGGACTGTGTCATCGTGATCCATCGAGCAGGAGTGCAGAGTGATAAGTACCCTCAGGTGGTCTCTGCCACGCTCAACTCTGCCTTCGTAGTGTGACAGCAGCCAGAGGCAGGATTTAAGTGGATGTTGTGCCTGTGATTCAGGAAAACTTAATTGAATTTGAAAGATTTTTCACAAGTCATGGAATAATAATCTTCTGATTCCCCCCCACCCCAATTAAAAATCTAAAAATCATTCTTTGCTCAGAAGCTGCATAAAAATAGGTGGCAGACCAGATTTGGCAACTTCAGTACTGTACCCCCAGGTCCCAGGTCTCTGGAGTTGGCTCACATGCTGATGGCAGAAAGAATGAAGTGAAAAAAAGGACCTAAATGTGAAAAAGGTACCCTTGTGGTTTTTGCTCTCGCTTGCTTGGCTTGTTCTGTTTCTTTGTTTGCTTGTTTTTTTATACACAGACTCTTAAGTATATGCAGCTACTTCCTATCTTTACATATGAGTGGGCAGCTTAGCTAATCTTTCACAATGTCTTGATTTCAGACTAAGCCTCCGTTTGTAGAACCCTTATTAGGTGCCAGGATTGTAGTAAATGCTTTTATATTTTCATTTCTTTCATAATATCTTAATCATACTTGAGTATATAGTTTATATAGGTGCATAGTTTAAAAGTCAAACAGTACCACAAAATTTACAATAAAAAATAATAGTCATCTGCTCCATCTTTCCTATCCTTTCCTTTCCTCATCCCTTAATCATGTAGTAGGGGCCACTACCTTTATCTCTTAGCTGTTTTCTCATATTTACTTCCTTTCATATTTCTTTTTATTTTATTTTATTTTATTTATGATAGTCACATAGAATGAGAGAGAGAGAGAGGCAGAGACACAGGCAGAGGGAGAAGCAGGCTCCATGCACCGGGAGCCCGACGTGGGATTCGATCCCGGGTCTCCAGGATCGCGCCCTGGGCCAAAGGCAGGCGCTAAACCGCTGCGCCACCCAGGGATCCCTCCTTTCATATTTCTAAGTCATGTGCCTATAGCTGTTTCTAATCTAGCTGACTTCTGACAATGAAGGTGAAAGTTTAGCTTTTACACGCACAGCTTCTTTCCCTCCCCCATCTTCTAACATAGTTTAAGCTCAACTTTGGTTAAAATCAGTATAAAAGTATGTATATCTTGGTTAATTATTCCCTAGGTCTCTGACTTAATTAGTAAAATTCTTCTCAGCATGGTCACATATATCTGGCACATAGATCTCCTGTGTGGATACATCCTTTTCAGAGCCCTCTGTCTCATGCGTGCCTCCCTCCCGGCAGATTCCTCTTGACTTCATCTGTAGTGGCAAGTGTTATCTTACTTTTCTTCTGAGAGTTATCTTTGCTTCTTAGTGTGTGGGATCCCTGATTCCATGTATTCCATGTCTTCCCCTCATGCTTATTGCCATGCCTTTTTATATATTGTTTTAAGATTTTATTTTTAAGTACTTTTTTTAAGGTTTTTCTTTTTTTCTTTTCTTTTTTTTTTTAAACAGAGAGAAAGAGAACACAGGCCAGAGAGTGGCAGGCAGAGGGAGAGGGAGTGGGAGAAGCAGGCTCTCCATTGAGCAGGGAGCCCTGTGTGGCTCAATCCCAGGACCCTGGGATCATGACCTGAACCAAAGGCAGATGCTGAACTGACTGAGCTACCCAGATGCCCTTATTTTTAAGTACTTTCTACTCTCATCATGGAGCTTGAACCCACAACCCTGAGATTCAGCGTTCCATGCTCTACAGACTGAGCCAGCCAGGCACCCCTCCTGGCTTACTGCAAAGCTTTGGTGGAGCCCATTTTCTGGTAGCTTTTTGAGAAAGTGTGAATATATCTTTCTGACCTTCCATGTCAGAAAATGTTCTTTTCTAGAATTGCTATTGAGGAAGCTGATATTCTGATTTTCAGTCCTTTTTTGAGTGTTTTTTTCCTCATGAGAAAAGTTGAAATATGTCTTTATCCCTGATACTATGGAATTTCACACTGTGCCTTAGAGGTCTGTTTCACCACTCACTGTGATAGGATCTGTAAGTCCTAGATGGGAGAGTCCTATTCTTTACACTGGGGAGTTTTTTTTGTTTTTGTTTTTGTTTTTTTTTTGGTGAGGCAGGTGATTGTGGATTTTAATATATTCTTCTACAACTTATGTTATTTGGACGTTGGATTTCTGAATTATTTCTCTATTTTCTGTACTTTCATACATTTATTGGCATTTTTTTTCTTTTTTTACTTTATTGCTGTCTTGCTTGAGTTGTCAGAGTAGAAGATTGTGTTTACCCAGTAAACATCTGGAACGTTGTGTAATCTTTTCATTTTCTTGTTGAGGCCCCATGTCAGCACCAATAAAGCCATGCCTTTTATATCAAATGGACTTGAGAAGAGATTTATGAAGCAGCACGGCCATCACTTAGTATTGCTTTCCTTTCCTAAAGGAGACAACCATCTAGGCTTTGGCCAGAGTTCCTTCAGGCTTGGGGCATTGTGTATGTTCACAGCCACAACCATTAGCCTCATCTTTAATGAGTTCTTGCTGTAACTACTCACACATCATCTGTATTTTTCACTCATTGGCTCTCATTTTATGTTTGGGACCTATAAATAATACTATAAAAGAGCTTTAAGATAGAAAGCTAGTTCTTTTATCCCGCAAGTGATGAGTCTCTTTGCGTGGTCATCTCTTTAGGTACCACGTGGTTGGCAGTCTCTTCCTCCTCCCAGAACAGGGTGTGGTATTGCCTGGCAAAAGGTGATTTGCCTAGGAAGGCTACAGTAGGATTAGATCTTCCATGGTCCTAGACAAGATTCATCTGACTTTATTCTGAGGTTGCTTTGTTTTTAGTCACATCAGAATATGATTTAATGTTGAGCTTCAGTCAACTAAAATCTTTGGACCTACTTCCGTCTAACTTGACCAGCTCTTTCTAGCTTATGCCTCGGTTCTTCTGTCACTGCTCTATTGCTGGGGCCTTCCGCTGTAGCTGCAGACTTCAGAACTGTTCTGTGCTGTGCCAGGTGACTGCTGCCTCTTTTTGTTTGTTGTAGTTTTATGGTTTTATTAACACAAATACAACGTGCACATAAGCTGTCTATTCATTTTCTTTGCTCTGCAGCCTGGCATTGGGATTGGTGGTTCTGATGGCCAGCTGGGCCACCCTTTGTACAGTGACTTTGTGGTTCTTGGAGAAGACATGTAGCAGTCTCTGCACAGTGAAATTGGTTGCACATCAGTAGCACTTCAGACTCCTTGATGTTGTGGACTATGAACTTTTGGAAGCCGCTGCATTGTCTTGTTGCTCCCATAACCAGTGTAGGACATCAAAAGCTTGTCCTTGAATCTTCTGTATACCCTCCTGCCAGTGCTTCTGGGTTTCTGCCAGTTGAATTTAATTTTGACATATCAGTCTGATTTGTGCTGGTTAAACTTACTGATCTTTTTAATGATATTGGGCTACCCTAGAGGTCTGAGGGCAGCTGTAATGCTGGACAGGAGGCAGCTGCTGCCTCCACAGGCAGCACTGGGGAAGAGAGCAGCCACCCTCTTGCTCTCCAGTTATATGTTGTTTCTGTCTGATGTTTGATGCCAATTTGTTGATTCTTCTACTGGCTTTTAGAGATTCAGAGAATCCTGGAGCTTGAGATGGAAAATCTGCTGTTAGAGCCCATAAGAATTTTCTGATGTGACTTTGATGGTATCACCCTCTCTTATCCTTGCTTGTTTGCATGTGCAGTCTCTCCCCACTCTCTGCCCCCACCCTCCCATGGGTGTACATACACAATACCTAGATGCAGCTGGGTTTTTGCCTTCATTCTTTTGATCTCAGGCTTCTGGCAAGAACTTGGTCACCATGGTGTCCCCCTAATTACTTGTCTTTTTTCTTCCCAACCCCTCAGTCTCACTTTGAAAAGATGCACAAACCTTGTTCCTAGTAAAGTGTTATGCTTTACATATACTTAGACTGAAGTTTTTGAAATTGTGGAAATTATGCATAGAAATGCATATACAGGGACACCCAGGTGGTTCGGTGGTTGAGTGTCTGCCTTTGGCTCAGGTTATGATCCTGGGGTCCTGGGATCAAGTTCTGCATCAGCCTCCCCACAGGGAGCCTGCTCTCGCCTCTGTCTCTGCCTCTCTTTGTGTCTCTCATGTATAAATAAATAAAATCTTAAAAAAAGAAAAAATGCATATACATTTGCGTTTTCATGACACTTTGTACAGGAACACATTACTTGATTTAATGCGGACCAGGTGACAGAAATAAGACTGGGTTTTCCTTAGCAGTTGGCTTTTTAATGTAAAAGTGAAGTGGCTGATGACATTGCAGCATGTGCCCTGCCCAGCCTCTGAGTGCTAGATTTGGAGTGAGCTCCAATATGGGGGTGATGTTTGCTTTCTGAGGGTCATATATTTCCCAGGCAGCTCAGAATTCCAAAGGCAAGCCATAAATTTGTATCATCTGATACCACAAAGTATAGCCACGATTGAAGAAAACATGAAAATCGGGTTTTGCAGAGGCAGAATCATGGTTGATGCTGGAAGAAGAGAGGTAGTTTAGTGGGAAATCTTTAGGGGATGCTTTGGTTTTCAGAGTGGAAGCTGTTGCAGGGCTCTTCAACTTCTGTGGGTTCTGACAGGCTTCTGGATGGGTTGCTCACTCTTTAGGCTTCTCTGTCTCCAGTACATCTGCTGCATTGTGGACAGTTCTTATATAAAGTACACATCTGACGCTGCTTATTTGCCTCTTCTTACTGGATTCTCCCGCTTATGTCTTCCCATGCACAGTTCTGCTCTGTTCCACCTTCATGGCCTTGTCTTTAGCACCCCCTCCCTGCCCCATATTTCAGTCACACCCAAACCCTTGGCCATACCCAGAACAGGTTAGACATCTCCCTCTCTTCACCTTTGTAGGATTCCAGCCTCTGTTGAAAGCATACCTGCCATGGCTTAAATATCATCTCCTCTATGTATGTCACTTTCCTCTGCTTCTGCTCAGAATGATTTCTTTCCATATGTTATTAAAATATGTTGCTTTAAAAAAAATATGTTGCTTTGTCTTTTCTGTAGATATTTTAATATATGTTTATCTTAGTTAAAACTCACCAGTTCGCTTTCTCTCTGCTTCTGCAGCAAGCCTATGGTGCTCTGTACTGTACTTCTTCAGGGCCCTTTGAGACCTGGTCTTGATGCCTAAGCTTATCTTTGAGCCTTTTCAATGGCATTTATTATCAGGGCTTTCTCCCTGCCATGACTTCCTGAAGCTACTAGAAACCTCTGTCCTATTCTCCGTGCTTGCAGGCTTATGTTTACTAGCCTGGAATACTTTTTGCTGTAGCATCACTTATTGAACTCTACCTGTCTTTT